CACTGGGCACATTTATAAAGCACTGCTGCCTACTTCATGAATGCAAACTAAGGAAGATGTAATTACCACAACAGGTCAGTGGAGGGAGTGCTAGAGAACACATCCATATATACAGTAGACTTTTGCAAAAATAAGCAACAATATGAAAGAACATTCGTCCCTTGCCATCCTCACGTTCTATAAACTATATACGTAGAACCTGATGACTCATAGGTCCTTAGACTGCTGGAGCAGAAGGGGAACAAGGCTGAAGGGACCGGCCTAGGAGCCAGCCTGGATCGCAGTTCAGGTATTACTTTATTTTAGCTCCCTAGTAGGGTTGTTACCTGTCCGGGATTCACCCGGACAGTCCGGTTTTTGAAGGCTGTGTCTGGGTTTCGTGGCAGCTGAAACCAGCACACAAAATGTCAGGCAGACAAGGGCAACCAAAATTAAGATAGGGGCTACTGGCCATCCACTGAAAATAGGCTTAAGTGTGATATTTACATATGAATAAGCCACGACTCATTCATATGTAAATATCATGGTTAATTGATATGCAAATTCTGTATCCCTCCACCATTGTAGAAGGTGGTACAGTCCGGCATTCTGGCAGTGTCTCAGCGCGGGAAAGGTATTTCAGCTGCTTTTCTTCTATCTCCTGTATCTGTCACTGTGTGTGGCTATCAGCCTCTGTGGTTAACAGACATATTGTATAGCTCTCTCATGCCTTTTTGAAGCCTTTCACCAGTTTAATTCACTTTGAATGGGACCCCTGGCTGCTTTATATTTCCTTAAACAGTTTTGCAGATAAATTCTCTTTTTAGATATAAAATATTGTAAGTTGGGATTTGTTTTATATTTACTTTCAAGAGGAATTGCAGTGAAAAAAAAGTGAAACAAATCTACTGTAATCCAGCAAATATTGCATCTATGCTAATTCCGAAATCTCAATAATTTTAAGGTAATGACTGGTCATTGTATATACCACCGATACATTGGCGGTTACTGAGAATACCTCCGTTACGTTGCTGGCCAGTGTATATTCCTCCTGTACATTGCTGGTCAGTGTGAATATCTCCGTTACATTACTGGTCAGTGTGAACACCTCTATTACATTGCTGGTCAGTGTACATACCTGTTACATTGGCTGTCACTGAGAATAACTCCGCTACGGTAGCAGTCAGTGTAAGCCCTCCTAATTCTCTCTTCACTCTCTCTCTCTCTCTGCTGGCTGTCTCCCCTCACTCTCTCTCTGCTGGCTGTCTGCCCTCACTCTCTCTTGGCTGTCCCGCCTCGTTCTCTCTCTTGGCTGTCCCTCCTCGTTCTCTCTCTTGGCTATCCCTCCTCGTTCTCTCTCTTGGCTGTCCCTCCTCGCTCTCTTGGCTGTCTCTCCTCGCTCTCTTGGCTGTCTCTCCTTGCTCTCTTGGCTGTCTCTCCTTGCTCTCTGTCCCCTGGCTGTCTCTCCTCGCTCTCTCCCCTGGCTGGTAAAGGGTATTTTACACTATGAGATCTTACCTTCACCATTTCCTCATTGGATGGGTGTGGAGTAATATGTAACGAGGATTGATTTCGGTGAGGAGATCTGGAGAAAGATTTGATTTCACATGTGGCTTTTGATCTGGATTCACTGTTTCACTGTGATTTATTTATGACTATTTGTTTATTTGTGTGCGATGTTTTACTGTGTTTACACCATTAGAGCTATTTATTAGGGATGCACCGAAATTTCGGCCTCTGAAACACATCGGCTGAAAATGGTACTTTGGGCAAAATGCCTAAAAGTAAAGTTTTTGGCCGACAATGCGATGCATCTCTAGTTTCTCACCTCCCCGCTTGGGGAGGAGAGAAACTGTCAGCAGCATTAGTGGGGCGGGGAAGAGAGCGCTGTCAGCACTGTCACAGGAGGCTGAGCTCTCCTCCCCTGCCCAGTTTGGGCTCCTGTGAAATGGCAGATCAGGATGGAGAGTGGTGTGGGGAGGAGACAGCTATCAGCTGTCACAGGCGGCAAAGCCGGCGGTGCGGGGGAAGAGTCAGCTGGCAGCCATGTCACAGGAGACCGAGCTCTCCTCCCCACACCTGCTCAGCCTCCTGTGACAGTGAGTTAGGATGGAGAGCGGTTACAAGCACTCACCAATCAGCTGATTAGATAGAATTGTCAGGATATCAGGGGTCTTACCACTCCTCGGGAACGCCACGTGCGGCAGAGGGCACAGGTTCTCCATCCTGGCAGGACCCCTGGCCCTGGCGCCTGGGTTGCGGTTGCGCGGTGGACAGGCTGCGCGCGCCCCCCTGTGCATGCGTACGCAGTCTATCCAGCCTGTAGTGCGCCTGCGCCCATTACTGGTGTCAGGTGTGGGCCTTGCTGGGGGAGGTTCCCAGCACACACCCTAGCCTCCTGTGTTTGCTGCTGCTGCGATTTCCTAACCCCTCATCTGACTTCCTGTTGCTGACTCTCTGGCCTGCCTTGACCCGGGACCGGACTTTGACTTCACCTTTGGATTGCCCCTTTGTACCTCCCCTTCAGACTATGGCCCGTTCCTGCCAGTGGGTTCCGATTCCCAGCCCGACGATTACCTCCTGACAAGAATGGGGGAGACTGAAACCCCTGTTGGGTTTTGCTGCTATTTATGGCTGAACAAGAGAGATTTTTTGGCATTCACCGTCCCAGTGAAAATGGTTTAACCAGGCAGAAAGTAAAAGGAAAATCTCCAAGGGTAACAAAAAGAGAGATAAAAACACTTTATGGTAGATTACCAGAAAGTTAGAACCCCAGTCAGATGATCCTTCGCAGCTCTATCTAAAACAAACAAAATAAAGTTTGGTCTGAACATGCAGTTGAATGATTTCAATCAGTCGTGTAACAATAGCCATAGCAGCCCACATGGCTGCTATTGGGCCCAGGGTAGAAGGGGGCTGATTAGGAAAACTAAACTGTGAAGCTTCCAGTGCAGAAGGGCTGAAGTCAGTCCTCAGGATCATAGTTACACATTCCCCTCTGTCCAGGAAGGAGCATTTGCTTATCAATCTCAGCATTGATACTGCTACAAGCCTGCTACAGATTGAAATTAACCCTGTATACCTAATGCAGACACACATCCCAGTTTCATCTCTGTTAAAACCTTATAGGAGGGCTGAGGTTTGTGCTCCTACAAAGAACTTTAATGAAGCTTGAGTTTGTATTAGAGTTGAAGAGTAAATGTGTGCAAGGGCAATAGTCATTTCATCATAATAAAATATCAGTTATTAGTGCTACTATAACTTTTACCCCAGCACTGCTCCCTCGTGGTGTACTGACAACTCTCCTGCTGCCTGTCCATCATACATACTTCACCTTAAGATCAATGATACATATTGTCACAACTGACACTGCCAACTACTACAGAGAGGTTTATAATTTGCAGTTACTCCCCTGTTTTTAATTAATACACAACTATATAATTCGTGTATTTATATCTGCCTGTTGGGATTTAAATTACACTATTCCTCCTGCTAACCTGGAAAAGAACGTCTGGACAGTTATGCTTTTCCCATGCCACTAAGAAAACAAATACACAGCACTAGAAAAGGGCAAACTTTATTTAATATACATTATTTACAATTTATATTGCTGATAATGTAAGAAAATAATATTTAAGATTGTACAGCTGCAATTTAAGCACTCAACTTCTCAACAGTTACAAAAGTTTTGAAATAAACTGCACCCAGTGTAGGCGACTGGTAAACTTTGTGTCGGCGACTTCATCAGATGGTACGGAACTTTTCTTAGAATGATAAACTGTACTTATGTCTTTTTTGAAAGGCACATGTCAAACCGAGGCAAATCGGTATCACCAAATAAATTGCTACCCCCACAAATAAGTCTATGTTAATTCACGCCTAATGAAGGTAATCCTGAAGACAGTTTGATTAACAAATGGAAAAGAAGTGCCTGCTGGGTGGCAGGGGTGAGCCACGGTGCCTTGAGTTGTTATAACACAAGCCACTGTTTATTTATATATTTCTTTTTCTATTTTTGGATTGTACAAAGCTTTACATTGTGCGGTGGTGGCATCCAGTGTGCTGCAGAAAAATGCAATATGTTGGCATTTTATCTCAGCCCAGCACACATCACACCTGCATTGTGGTGTGAACAGGGCACATGTTTTCTATGTGTCCTAGCAGTGACTGGCATTGATTGGGTGCAGAAATAACAAAAGGTGTTAAATGTCCTACAGTTTGTTTCCTGAAAGCAGCCACAGCCTGAGTAGACAAGCCTGTCCACTGTCAGCATGCTGTACAAAAGGACCCTTTCTCTCGAAGTAGAAGCAGTCGTCTCCTTCTGCTGAGTCATAGCTAGAACTCTCCCAATCAGCAGGGAGCCTGATCTTTGCTAGAAGAAGAGCAAGGAGATCACTGCTTTCACATAGAGCAATGGCCCCTTTCTATAGCATGCTGGCAGGGTCGGGCTTTTCTAGTCAGGATGTGGCTGCTTTCTAAAGAAAACGAACTGCGAGACTTTGAACACATTGAGGGGCATTAATCAAAACTGGAGCAGCGAGAATCTGGAGCATCTGTACATGGCAACCAATCAGCTTCTATCTTTCATTTTCAAAGCTTAACTAAACAACCTAAAGAGAGAAGCTGATTGGTTACTATGGGCAACTGCTCCAGATTCTGTCTGCTGCAGTCTTGATAAATTCCCCTCATTTTTTATGCACCTGAAATGCAAGCACATGAAGCTATGTAAGTCAACATATCTAAAAAAACGATTTAACAAAATATTCCAGAATGAGCCAAATGGCAGTACTGTACTCTGCAACCAATTAGTAACTATTGCTGTATATGAAAACAGAAACTTAATTGTTTTTTAGCTTTTCTCTTTATATACTTATGGAAATGTAAGTGCTTTGCAACCAATGTGCGTATTCATTAGTATTCAAAGTGGACTTTAAAAGAATGATGTATTCTTTGCTTTGAATTGTACATTTATACAGACAGTTTAAAGATGAATCTGTTCTACACATCAAGCTGGTGTTCACTACTGTGCCCTGACAATCAAGCATAGCTTACCCTGGGGTTGTATGTTCCCACTGTTGTATTCCTTGCTATCTTCAGCATTTCCTGTAGGCATATAAAAACAGCAAGGCAACACAGCAGTCATCTGTCAATGACAATGACTGGAATTTGAACAATTCTGCACTACCAGCAACAGATTAATATGTTATCAAACAGCCAAATGCTCTGAGTCACAATGCATGTCCTGTAGAAGCGTAGTCCACTTGTGTTTTATCAATCCAATGCCACCCTCCCAAGATCTCCTTTGCGGAAAGCACGTATGAAGTCATAAGCAGCAGCGCTGTAGTTTGGAATAGTTATGTTGACATCCCCTTTAAAAGCATTTAAAATGATACATGTTAAGATATATGACAAGCATTTTGTACATGATTCTACACTAAACATGTTGGTTTATAATATGATATTTGAACTCAAGAACCAAAATTTAAAATATTGCAGCTTACCAGTACTTTGATGTGGTGGCTACATTGGATTCAGTCTTTAGGCTATGCAAGTACCGAAAATACTTGTTAATCTCACCAGAAATGCAGTGACCTTATTACCATCTAAAAGCTGAACCAAAAGCACAAACAATCCTACCTTGCTTGTAAACTACTGAACTCCCCCATGTAAAAGAGATGAAGAAAAGGCATGTTTAAAGTACAGCGTAAGTTACCGCCATGGCTCCTTCCATAAATACAATGGAGTGACTGAACATGGCCACCTTGTGGTTCACACATAGTTACAGCATTACCAGGTGAAAAAGGCAAAGAACAAAAAATCTAATGCAGCCACCACAGCTCAGGACTGGTAAACTACAATATGTAGTATTTTTCTTATTGGGTTTACGTACACTTTAACATTATGTAGGTACGCTGGCAGACAGAAGAGGAAGAAGAAGGATCAAAAAGACTATAAACAGTTAATAAAATGCAGTTATATTCTACAAATGCCAGTAAGCCTGTTAGTACAGAATTTTCCTGATCATGCCAATGCAGTGGATTCCTTAGGTTGTAGGCCTGGTCTCCTACACACCAGGACATATAGAACTAGAACTATACTCCATATATCACATTCCGACTGCATAACTGCACTGTTACCAGAAAACAAGCCCCATAGCCTTGTTCCACAGCACATAAAGTTGAAAGTTAGACTTCTAATATACATTGAACATTAAATGTGAATTTAATGTTCATAAATACACATTAGATAAAGAGTGGATACAAATACACTATCTCCTACATTACACAGCAGATTGCCTGTTCCTGACTTGCTATGTACGATAAAGGTAGACATTCAGCATGGAAGGAGAAATGTTTACTGCTGCTAATGTATTCAGCAGTTGTGGCACCCAGGGTTGCCTGAATACAATGGCGGTACCGAACAGTGACTGTATATGATAGAATGCAGTCACTGATCGGCCGATAATATTTCACCCGGCACAGTTGATCATTTAAAATCGACTATTGTCCACCCATGCCTTGAATTTTATCTCATTTAGCAGGAATAGGATGAAATTCGAGCTGTCTATGGACAGCTGAAGAGTCAGCCTCCTACAAATACGTAAAGCTATATAAAGGGGGCAAATAACACTATTTCTTACATAACCCCTTACAGCTATAATTATTTAAGATTATTAAGATTCTTAGCCCACTGCTAACTGGTTCTCTTAAAAAACAAACCCTACAAACCCTTTCAAATTTTTAAAGCAAACTTCCTTTACCCCACTACAATCCTATTTATATACCAAGCATTGGCTTTGGTTAACCAATGATCCTTCAGTGATAAGTAAAGATACATTTGATTTCATTTTGTTACAAAGCTGCTTTTTAAAACAAACAGTCAAAGCAAAATGGTTGTTAAGGATGCACCGATACTAGTATCGGTATGGATACCGAGTATTTGAGCTAGTAATCATACTCGCCCAATTGCCTATCCCGGTACCGGAACTTCCGGTATCAGGAAGCCGGGCAACAAGCCATTACATGCTGCCCGGCTTCCTGATTGGACGGGAAGCCAGCTCCATGCTGCCTCATCACTAGGAAGCATGGAGCTGGCTTCCCGGCCAATCAGGAAGCCGGGAGGATGTAGAGGGAGCATGGAGACGTTATTCCGGCTAATTGGGAAGCCAGACGGCGAGTCATTACACACCGCCTGGCTTCCTTAATGGGACTACCGTTATCGGTATCAGCGGGTACTGGGAAAAAAAACAACGGTACTCTATTTTGAAAACCCGGTATCGGTGCATCCCTAGTTGTTATATATGGATAAAACATTGTCAAATTAAGATTTGTACTAAATGGAGTAAAAGGCCAATAATCAGAACCTACCAGTACCAGTGATGGCTTTCACTTTCTGAGTCTTTCCTAGCCTTTGAGCAATTTTCTTTAGGACGGTCTCAATGTCTGAACACGGTCTTTCTAATTCATAATGCTGCACGTATCTGAAAAGAAAATAATAGTGCTCATAGTAATGGCTTGTTCCCACCAATATGTTACCACAACATGCGGCAGCGCTTCATCACGCTATAGTGCAATGCACTGCTATTCGTTTTAAACTGTACCCCAAGGATTATAACCCTTCTACCTTCACAAAGGGACACAGACCAAGCAAGGGTCCGGCAGAGAGCAGAAAAAGATTAACAGTGTCACTTTTCCCCCCCACCTGCCATCAGCTGGAAGCCTGCAACAGCAAGCAGATAGAGGTACTTAGTCCTGCCCCATCTGTGAATTCACTGACCGGCTTAATCCTCTTCTTGCTTTGCAAGGAGAAAACACTCAAACTGGATAAAAAAATGCAGGCCGCAGCATCCTAGGACATCAGCGACCACTGGAAAACACCAGTCTCAGACAAAAAAAAAGACTAATCAGTAGTAAAGCAGATGGAGCCCTTTGACTGACGCAGCCTGCAATGAAAGCCTTACCACACACAGCAGTAGGTTTTCAGTACTTGCTGGAACTACCCTGGCTATGACCCTGGAAAAACGCATTTTCAGTGATCTCCCACCAATGCAGTCAGTCACATGTAGCATCAGTGGTGAAGCTAGGCATTCCATCACCTGGGGAGATATTCCCCATCCACACCCCACTGCCCTCACCCTACACTCCTGGGCTCTGTTCTTTTGTTGCGGCGGCACCCCTCCTGATCCACCGCAGAGGTGAGGCTTCAAATGACCTTATTCTCTAGTGCTGCTTTGTTAATTAAAGAAATGCTTCTGGGCTTGTTTTTATTTTCCCGGCAGTGCCCCTTCTAATCTGTTATGGAGGAGAGATCATTCAATAATCTGTTATTGAATGAAGTGATTTCAAGCCTCACCTCTGTTGTGGATCAAGAGGGGCGCCGCGACACCAAAAGAAAAGAGCATAACAGCAGGTCTAAAGACACTGATCCGCCACAGAGGTCTAGCACGCAGCAATACATTATACAGCAATGCAGAATACCATCAGCTATAGAGAACTACAAATCCCAGCAATACATTATACAGCAATGCAGAATATGAAGCCACATACTGTGCAGAGTCTCAGGAGGGCTGTGCGGAGTCTCACCAGGGGTCCGGAGGGTCTGGCGGGCAGGAAGTGGGGTTCCCCAGGAAGGAGGAGGAAATGTGCTGCACTGTAAACGGGTGTCGCAGTTCACACGAAGGCTGCCAGGGTCCCCAGCAAGTGTTTAAAGATTTAAAGTGCCCGTGTTGGCGTTTAGTATCAGTGCATTTTTGTTAGGAGCATGATTAATGCTCCTATGCCTGTCTCACCCTCCTAGCTCCATCTGGTGGTTGCCTCTTGTCACTGCACCTACCCTAGTCTAGTCAGCTGTGGGCTGATTAGGCTAATCAGCCTGGCTACGCGCCCCTTACAGCTTACAGCAGTTGGTTAGTGGAGCTTTATTTAGGCTTCCCAAACCCAGGGCTCTGGGCTTGTGATAGTTCAATCTAGCTCAGTCTAGTTCTGTCTGCTTAAGGCGGTATTCTGCTCTTGTATATCTTGTTTCCTAGTCTTGCCTTGTACTCGGCTTGATCTTGTATCGTAGTCTTGTACCTTGTATCAGTTCCTGCCTTGTATTGTAGCCCTTTCTTGATCCTGTATCATAGTCTTGTGTTGTATCTTGCGTTCTGTCTGTCTTGTATCTCGTCACCAGTCAGTACTACGTCTTTGTTTCTGGGGGCCACCTGTGACATCTATGGCCAGAGTGTATAGTTGAACTCCTGGAGGCATCCGAGTACCGGTAGGCGTATATTGTCTTATGGGAAAGGCAGTTGCTAAAGGTGAAACAACTCGCCACTATACACTCTTGACGCAGGTGTCTGCGTCCGGTCTGAATAATTTTAACGAGTGCCAGTACTCGTGAAAATGCCTGGTTCCTGTGCATCCCCAGTTGGTTGCTCACCCTGCTGGCAGCACCCCTCCTAATGCAGTGCCCGGGGGAAACACGCTCCCTCCCTAGTTTTGGCCCTATGTAGCATAGCCCAGAACCAACACCTTCAGGGGTGCCCTGCAGCGATCAACCTACATAGAATTAACCAAGCAATCCGAGAAAGCCTGCGCTTGATGGATAACTGGAGCGGCTATCGAGGACTAGAAAAGGTCTGGAGAGAATCTGCCAGCAACGTATGACTGAAGAAAGACCTCAGGAAGTCCTAAAACACCAGAGCTGGAAAAATCCATCTACGCACATAAGGACATGAAGCTAAACTGGGGCGTGGCTGCTGTAGGAGGGGTTATATGTTCTAGGGCTGTCCTACAATGTTTTCTGTGCTAGTGTCTATTCCTCCTGAAGATGGTGCTATACAACCAATTTTATTGATTGAATCCGGTGTCCCAAAATGGATGATAAAGAAAGTAAAGTTGTCTTTTATGTTCCTTCGATGAAGTTGATTGACTTTTCACCTTATTTTTAGTTTACAAAGAATAAACAATATGGTATTATAATAACTGCATTTTCCCATTCTCACCTGTGTTGGGGGTAATTATTTAGGGTATAAAGGAGATAATCAGCTATGATATCCTCTCCCACCAAATGATCAAGGATTGTTCCTTAAAAAAAATAGAGAGGTGATGTTCAAAGCCTCTTACAAAACATTTTACTATTCTACAGTGAAAATCACAGTGTATATTTCCTATGCAGAGCTACATCAGCTTAACATGTAATTTAAAGTAAATCACTTCTGGCACAAGAATGGGGGGAAAAAAGATCACTCATTTTCTCGAGTGTGACACTACAATGCTGTGATAGAGGAACAATGAACCTGAGCTAGGTTTGTGAATAGCAAATGACACAGCAGTATCCCAAAAACTGCTGTTCCAAAACTGCCTGTGGGACCACCCCCTGAAGATAACCACTGATAAAAATAACGGGACCGAGTTGCAAACACTGGAGGCTGCCATGTGTTTTTTAAAGTTGCAAACTCCAAGACTGCACTCCTCACTGTTCTTACAATACTTAGAGAGAAACTAACTAGGAACTAGCAAGGATCAAATGAAGTGTCATGTGACCTGAACTTGAGGGGGGTGTCCTCTCTTCACTAATTTTTAGATCGTCTATTAGCGGTGTTTGTGTAGGACAATACACAGTAGAATCACCATTTGTTTCCCTCACACTCACATTATACTACATCATAAAACATGTGCATTGTTCATCTCTACACACAGTTAGAGAAAGTTTATTAGCCTGTTATACATTTTGAACACAGCACAGACCTCTACCAACAAGCAAGCAAACACCAGCATTGACCCGGTGAAGAAAGAGGGGTTCAAAAGCTGTCACCTACCAGCTTATTACACTGATGGACAGGATGCAGAAAGAAGATTTAAAAGGGTTTCTAAACCCTCCGGTTTTTTTGCATATATCTACTGCTAGCAAGCAGTAGATATATGCAAAAAGTTTTTTTTTAAAAATGCTTTAAAAGGCGGTTTAAACTTATCGCTGTCTTCGCCGCGCGCTTCCGTCCGAAAATCCGAAACTGCTCCGGCAGCCACAAAGCATCTTGGGGCGGGGGCATGCGCAGTTCGGATTTTCGGCCGGGAGACGAGGAGAGACGCAAGGTAAGTCTATGGACGCGTGCACCCCCATGCAGACACCGTGGGGCAGGAAGTGCCAGCAAGGACAGAGGAGTCAGCGCTGGATCGGAGACCCGCCGCAGCGCTGGAGAGAAGGCTGAAAAGGACAGGAAAGAAGAGGAAGATCAGATTAAGAGACATCATTTAAGGTACGCGTTTTACTTAACATTGGGGGGAGAGGGGAAAAAATTGACTTTAATGTCACTTCAATATCAAATTGTGTGGACTAACTGTTTATATTTTCCTGAATGCTATACTTATAAATGTGTTATGTTATAGTTCCATAATAAACATTGTTTTACCACATAGAGCTAATTTCATTCCTGTCTCAACATTCTCAATATGTGGGGAGAGAACACCCGGAGTGTCAAAGAGGTAGATTAGAGGATTTTCAGATACCTGCACAGATATAAAAAAATGGGAGATACATTCATTATTTTTTCCTGAAATACAAATATGCATTTGCGTTTATTAAATTACTTCAAGAACTGGGGGTCTTCAAGTGTCTCAAACTACAAGTTTCATTATACATCACCAGTAATTTCACAAGCAGAAGCCAAACGGTTGCCGGGAGTCAAAAGTTGTCCATATTTCCTCTACAGCAGCGGTAGGCAAATAGTAAATGTAGGGAGCCACAAGTAGCAATCCTTTTTATACATTTGCTATTATTACTTTTTAGGATGATATAATTAAGATGTTAAAATAAAAGTGTCCTATTTTTATTTTGGACAAACTGGTGCACTTCTAGAATGCCGATTTTTGAGCGGCCAAAACATTATTGCCATCTGTTGCCCATCGGATCGGAGCGTAGAAGGGGGAATCCAGTCCCTCCCCTGTCACTGCTCTGTGCCGTGACAGGATCGAGAAGTGAACGAACGTCGGTATATGTTCACTCACTTGCCGATCTACTGAGCCGACCTGTGACCGTTTCATTGTCACAGGTCGGCTAGAACTATGAGGTGAGTGAAAAGCTCTCACCTCATAGTTCTCCTTTAAGACAATTGCAGTCAACTGTTCACAATTATTCTCACCTGTATTTTATACAGCACTGAGCGGGTGATTCCAGGTTCTCCACCAACTCTAGAGGCCTTCCCTGAGTGTATACACAGTATATGAACATTAAAATGGTGAGTAGGAGAATACCACTCTAATTTTAGTTACTAAAATAAAGAAAAATACAAACTTATAAAAGTAAAATGACGGAAATATATAGCATAGGAACAGTACCTTTCCTTAGATGTATTCTACGCAGTGAGTTTACCAGAGAAGATTTTCCAACGTTGGGAATTCCAGTTACCATAATGCTGATTTCTGGGTTCTGCAAAAGTCAATAAATAAATAAATAGATCAAGCAATCACATGTCATCTGGTACAATTTAACAACTGATTAAACAATAATGATAATATGGACAAAAGATCTTCAAAGTGAAACACTACACATCACTGTGTGAAATGGTATTCATGTATGGTCATATTGCACTGCACTATTCCAACACATGGCAAAAACATCTACTTCTCTGCCACTGACCTCTTCTCTGTGGAATCGAGGATTGCATTTAATGCGCTCTACAATTGCTGGAACTACCTATATAAAAAAACACAAAAATTAGGAGACACTGCCTTTAGAAGAAAGCTGCTCACACAATTTAACTAACAAACAGTGGACATGTAAATGTATACAGGACAACATCTTTGCAGACCTTTAGACTTATGCACATAACACAAAAGCAGTCATATGTAGAAGCCATCCGATCCAGTGTTTTTACATCTGATGAAAGTAAAAACCAAAACACTGAAATAGGCAAGACTGCACTAAAACATTTCCCTCACCTTGTCAAATCAAAGAACACCTTGTATTCATTGATAACAAATAATAGGTGTTCTCTGAATGGTCTCTGTGCTGAACAAGCACCCCCCTATCTATTCAGAGCAGAGGGGAAGCCACTCAGCACAGCTCCATACAGGACCCAGAATATCGCTGCAAAGCACTGTAGTAGCTCTGACTACTATAGGGCTTTACAAGATCCATGTGAGTCGATCATGTATGACTTACGCATACAAACACTGGGTCAAACTGGACCAATGCAAGTATGCATAATACTTTATACTAGAGATGTCCTGATACCGGGCATTTTCAGAAGTACTTGTACACATGAAAATGCCCTGAATTTTAAGGCCCATACTGGCCCTTTAAATATTTAAACTGCAGAGGCTGTCTGAGTTCCCGTGCTTGTGGGAACTTCTGGCAGCCGGGTAGGGACCTGACAGTAGCTGTCTATGGCAGTACCTGTTCGGTTCTATATCTCCTCCTCCCCGGCTCAGGCACAGCCATGGACAGCCCCACAGTACAGCCCAGGAGACGGCACCCGCACAATCAACTATCCACCCACCATTTCAGGCCGCCACCCACCCGATCAGCATAGCCACTGCCCGCAGAGATCCACATGCCACCGGGGTGAGATTGCAGCCTGGGGACATGTATTCTGCTCTGGGGACATCTATATTTAGCTCTGGTGACATCAGTATTGAGCCCTCGTGAGAAACTGCGCTTAAACCATGAGTCTGTGTTGTTTTAGAAAAAAATGTCACATCTCCCTTTAAGAAAAAGTATCGGTAATTGGCATCAGCACGTACCTGAGGGAAAGTACTTGTACTTGGTCTTGAAAAAGTGGTATCGGGACATCCCTGTTTTATACCTTGAGTTTAGCTTTAAATAAAAGGCAAAGAAATAGCCGGATAACATTGCCAAGGAGGAGGCCTCACCTGTTTGATGTTTTCCTCCTGTATACAGTCAGTGTATATAACCTTTCCAACTTCCTGCTTCCTAAGTTGTGAGGTGATCCTCTGAAAAAGACCAGACAGCAGAGCAGAGCAATTTTAAAGCATGAAAAAGTCTGGGGCTACTAGATCTCCTATGCACTAGAAAATGGCTTTATAGTCACAGGAACTGTTGGTTGCCCCACATGGGCAAAGAACAGCTTTGCTTTAAGAATTGCAGTTTAAGTGACTGTTATGTAATACACTTGAAAAGGGCTTCTAACAATTCCAAAGTCCTATAAATATTGTCACATTAAACCTAAGAAAAAAAACTGGGAGTTCCTTTTTGTTATTTAACTACTGATGCCACACAAAAAAATGAACTCAGGGACTCCTTAGATCAGGGGTGCCCACAATTTTTTGTGTTAAGATCTACTTTTCAAATGACGAGCTACATGAGATCTACCAACGAAAAAAAAAACCTCCCTCGCTCTCTCTCTCTCCTGGCTGGCTCTCGTCTCTCTCCTGGCTGTCTTTCCTCGCTCATCCTCCTGGCTGTCATTCCTCATTGTCTCTCCTGGCTGTCTCTCTTCGCTCTCTCGGCTGTCTCTCTTTGCTCTCTTTTCTGGCTCTCCTCTCTCTCTTTTCTGGCTGCCTCTCCTCTCTCTCTTTTCTGGCTGCCTCTCCTCTCTCTCTTTTCTGGCTGCCTCTCCTCTCTCTCTTTTCTGGCTGTCTCTCCTCGTGCTCTCTCTCCTGTCTGTCTCTCCTTGCTGTATTTTGCAAACAGTATAGTGCAACAGGCTGTGTAAACGAATATTCTTTGATGTAATACATGGCACTTCAACCACCATTATCCACCAGAAAGGTGTCAGGGAGCTTGGCTCAGCAGACTCAGGCTAATAGGTAATCACGTGTGCACAGCTAAATAAATATACCAAAATGGAATAAAGGGGCCACCATTCACACCCTTCCTGATCTACCAGCATCAGCTTTGAGAGCTACCGGTAGATCACGATCTACCTAATGGGCACCCCTGCCTTAGATAGACTCTTTTATGCCCCCCAGCTTACAAAGAGACTCCCTTCACTTGTATCATCATAACTTGTTTGGAGATGTTTAGAGGGACAGATGTTTGTAGTCCAAACCAGGGTAGCAGCTCAAAGTGATAATGTTGCCACTACACAGATAATTAGAGTGAGTGTTGTCATCCTAGGGCAGAAAGTGTATTACTGGTCTGATCACCAGGTGAAAATAAAGGGGGAAAATAGACTTAAAATGAAAACTAATGCAGCCACCTCATCTAAGGAATGGTAAGCTGCAATATATGACATTTGTTTTCTTAGGTTAAGATAGAAACAAAAACAAAATACAACACTCTAGGGCCTCATTTACACGGGCGTGCACATCCTTACGGTGTGCATGCCACTGCAGGCATCCTGCTCCTGGGAGGGACAGGTGAAGCGTGTAATTGCATTCAGCCGCCTGTACATCCCTATGAGGAGGACGCAGTTGCAGATCCATGCAGGTTTGGAGCACACTCTTGGATCTCTTGGATGCAGACGGTCTGTCCCTCCTGGGAGCAGGTCTCTGCGTTGGCATGCTTACTGTAGGGATGTGCAGGCTTGGGTGAATGCTACTGTTTTGAGCGGTATAAAACTAACAATATTTAGAATTGATAATGTCTTACAAGCGATACCCATACAAATGACATATTTCAAAATTAATTTACACTCCGCCTAACTTTAAAAGCATAGTTTGAAAGATTTTTACTTATCATCAGTGCCACTTTATCATTACTTATTTTTTTACATTTTGATGAGACAGGTCAGCTAGATCCATTTTGTTGAGTATAAGCAGGTGAGGTTTAATTCCAAGGTACTCTTTAAAGAAAGGATTTCGACCAGATAAAGGAATGTTTTCTAGTTAAGGAAAGTCAATATAGTCTGACCTTATTAAACAGAAAAAGAAAAACACTTATGGTTCTGTTTATAAAAGAATTTGCACAGTAATTCATCCAGTGAAACTGCATGTACATGAATTGTGTGGGAATTAACCAGCTGCTGTGAGAATGGGGAAACATTGAATGTTCTTGGGCTATTTTTTCTTCTGGTTGAATGTTCTTCCAATATTAGGACAGTATTGGATGGGGACAATAGCACATTAAGGCCACTAGATGGAGCTGAAGATCACAGAAAATAAATATGTCTTAGTAACAACAGATACAATGTAGCAATTCTAAAGAATGCTGTAACAAATTAGCAGATAAATGTACCCTTTGCCACTACAGGGTGGGTGAGGATGATTTAGTTATAAGAGATGTATACAGTACAAGGAATAATAAACCAGAAAGAGTACCACTCTATTTTACAATGACATGCCATTCCCTGTGGTCAATGTTTGATTAGTACAATTTCATCATGCAGCAATAAGTCATTCTAATAAAGCTAGAATAACCTATGAGCCAGAGCAGGGGTTAGAACTTCTGCCAAGTTTTTATAGCTGTATGTTTTTATCTCTGTGGCACCAGTTCCCTTTATTTCTTTTCCTGGTGACATCAAGAGGGGAAGTAAAGGAAATTCCAATGAGGTCACGGACACTGATAAAACTTTACAGAAGTACTCCTTCCTACTCTATCCAACACTAGTAAAACATTTTGGCTGAACATTGACTTTACATTTTGAAGACTATACAAGGGATTATACATTTTCTACAAGTTTAATTTGCACCAATTTGAAGTAGCACTTTAATTGGCAATTGTTTAACCACTTCAAGACCAGGTGTTTAGACCTCCTTCCTGGCCAGGCCATTTTTCAGTGTTCAGCGCTGCAGTCCTTTGACTAACGTTTATTCCGTCATGCAACGCTGTACTGATAGAATAACAGGATGTATGCAGCTTCATTGGGGACGCTAGAGTGTAGGGAGAGGTGGTGGCATGCAAGACATGAAAGTATTGTCTTCAATGTACACACAGTTCTGGATGCAGTGTACAAAGACACGTGGATCAGACATGTGCTCGCAGACACAGTTTTATTAGTGCATGACATTTCCTATATAAGTGATGGCTAACGTTTTTGAGCCCGATTGCCCAAACTGCAATGCAAAATCAATTTATCTCAAAGTGCCAACACTGAAAAGAAGTTTGCTATTGTGTTTTGGTTTGGGCACATCACACTCATTAAAAACACACACACACAGCCTGAATAAAAAAAAAATAAAAAACACAGCCACATATCACACACTCATAAAACACACACAACCATTAACAATAATTGAAAGTTAATGATTAATCTCTGGCTGATGCAGACCATACTAGTTGCTCCTTCCTGTGAGCAATGGCACCACAGGGGTTTGATTTGTATGGTTTACATCAGCAAGAGATGCTGATCCTCTACTGGACAACCACAGTGTGAATTTAATTTAATATACTGCCTGTTCGGCAATATATTAAATAGGATCTGGGCACCTTCCAGTATTAAAGATGGCCACCACCATTCAGGGTGGCCATTGGGATCCGCTTCAGCTGCTGCGTCTCAGTATACCGTGAGCAGCTGCTCGCGGTATACTGCGGTGTCTCAGCATACCGTGAGCTACGACTCGCGGTATACTGAGCCTAGGGTGACGGGAGGACGCTAGTTTGTGTCCTCCCGTTACCCTAAGGAGAACTATGGGGAAAAGACTTAACCCCATAGTTCTCCTTTAATCTGACGTGGAGACTGGTGGGACACCGGAGGCCTGCGCGGAGCACCCCAGGTGAAAACCTGGAGTGTGCAGGCCCCGGCAACTGGCACCTAGGCTCGCGTGCCACCAGAGGGGCCTCTGCGTGCCCTCTGTGGCATACGTGCCATAGGTTTGCCATCACTGTCCTATAACATACTTCTCTTGGATGTAACCAGGTACAAAATTATACACATGGAGGAAAATTGTACAAGCATTGATTATTTTCTATAAAAAAAAAAAAAAATACAAAATTCAAAACACAAGTACATTTGTATAAACGAAGAAGCTTCTGGATTCAATGACTATAAAGAAGCAATGGCTAAACATTAGCAGTACAGAAAAAAAGGATATTCTTGCATCATGTACTTCCACAATGCAGTCCACTTTTGTTAATTTAGCCCTCATCTGTTTAATTCCTGTAGGAAAAAAAAATGTAAACTCAAGTTCACAGATATGCATGCTCATATGGCTACAAACTGAGACAATGGCTACAAACTTTTAAAGACTTCAAGATCAAGGGGAGATACTCTATTGTCCATTCACAGAATGCCTTGTGTTGTGAACAGAATACAAGACATTCTGCGATTGGATGGACGAGGGAGTAGGGAGGGGGTGGCTACGCGACAAAATCCTTTACTACATGAAAACAGCAAAACGTTTTCCTGGCACACTCACAAGCTAGCATGTAAAAAAATAACTTGCCTCACCACTAGGGTTAAAAACAGAGGTTTAGATACACGTCTTCTGCAGAAAATGTGAAAGCCGCACAGCCGCGCCAAGGCACCTCTTATAGTGCGGTCCCAACTTTAAACTTAAGAGTCTCCATCTTGGAGCACATGGGTCAGAAGATCCTTTACTACATGAGACCCACAGCACTGGAAGTACAGGGCTAGCACTTTCAGGCATGAAAGATGCTAGGAATTTTACAGTACACCGGAAGCGGCATAATCTTCATTAGAGGTAATGTCTTTGTACAGAGAAATTTTTCCTGGAGTTCTGCTTTAAAGGTTTACCTTCAATAAACCAGGGCTGGGCAACTCCGGCCCCCCAGCTGTACTTTAACTACAAATGCCAACATTCCTCTGGGAGTCATTCTTGTAACTGTCAGTCTTGCAATGCCTCATGGGGCTTGTAGCTCCATCTCCTGTGCTCCTAGCATTTATTGCAACAAACCGGCACTGAGTTATGTGGCCTACCCGAGCTGTCTTTTTGAAAAGGTTAGATGTCTGCATTGAAATGAGACTCAAAATAAAACAAAAAGCAGCTCCCACTGCAACACTTGCCCTATCTCGGCTCCTGTACCACCCATTTTCACCATTCTGCAGTCTAGTGTTGGTCCTCTTCCAGGTTGAAGGACGGCAAGTATCATTCAACCCGCACTTCCCATGATCCCAGGTTATGAAGTACACATTGTCTAAGGGCACATCATAAAAGGTGCCCTGGACTAATAGAATGCTGCAGGATCACCCAGCACCATAGGAAATATAATACCAATTACCAGATAGAAGACAGCAGGATTTAAGATATGTACTGTGTAATTTAACACAAAAAAAAAAAAGGAAGTAGCCTCAGAGATGGTGATTTCCACTCACCTCATAGTTCTAAGCCGACCTGTGACAATTAGACTGTCACAGGTCGGCTCAGTAGATCGGGAGGTGAGAGAACACATACCGGGTTCCCTCACCTCTCGATCCTGTCACGGCTCTCTGCCGTGACAGGGGGAGGGGCTGGATTCCCCTCTCCCCGCTCCGATCTGCCAGCGTTGACTGGCGGAACGGACGGGGGCGGGGGCGGGTACAGCTGGCTCTGCCTCTAGATAGGCAGAGCCAGCTGTCACTCACGCAGCTGGGCGGATCCCGTCATCTAAGTCGGGATCCGCTCCAGGTGCGGCGTCTCAGTATACCGCGAGCTGTAGCTCGCGGTATACTGAGCTTAGGGTAACGGGAGGACGCTAGTTTGTGTCCTCCCGTTACCCCAAGGAGAACTATGGGGAAAAACACTGACCCCATAGTTCTCCTTTAAAGCCCAACTACATGTAACATTTTTAACCACTTGAGTCCCTGGGCAAGTTTTTCTCATTATACCTTTTGCACTTAGCGTAGCCTAACCTAATGTATTAGAACTAAAAATATAAAACATTGCAGCCTTTTTAAACTTGTATTTTGCCAGTCACACACTCCCTGTCCTAGGATGACAGCGCTCACTCACTGCTCTATATCTATGTAGAAGCAGCATTGTCACCCCATTGTCATGCAGTCCTCGGAGATAGCGTAGAACAATGTAACTGTTAAAGAGGAACTTTACCCATATCTTTGAACTGACAAAGACCCATTTAGAAATGTTTAGTAATGGCAATCTACAAACACATATTTACAGATAATTGCAGGCTTTTTATTTTTTACATACCTCATTTTTCTTTTCCGCCTCAGCCTTCTCACAGAGGCCATTTTTACAAAGGGCAGATGAATCCATCTCCTTTTACTTCCTGGAACTCTGGCACATGTGACTAGGACATGTGACTATGCACAGCATCTGCTGATGTAACTTTCCCAGGAAGCAACGCTTTGTTTAACTAACAAATGTAGGATGCTTTCATATCAGGATTCAGAGCTGCATGCTAAGGGGATAAGAGTCAGCAGAGAGCACAGGAAGTTATCAGCTGCAAGGGTTTCCTTAACCACCTTCTTGACCTTACATCTGTGGCTGTGCATTTCAGCCCCATAGATTTAACTAGTTAACAAGGGTTAAATGCTAGTTTATGTGTAAGGGGAACAGAAAAAACAGTTATAATTCCCTTACCCCTCACTCTCCCACAGGTTTCCTCCCAGCTGCATGACCGGTCTCCTGAAGCCACATCTCTTTGCCACTCTTTCAGTCGCAGGCACTCTGCTGTCATTGCGTATAATGCAGGATCAGAAGTCCTGCATTGTAAGTGAGGACATCCAGGGCATGCACACAACCCAGAGCCTTGAAGAGAGGAGAAGCGCCGGTGGGGTCCTTGGAATAAAAGGGAGGGGGGGATCTGTAGATGGCAAGGGGAGTGGAGGGGAGGAGAAGAGGGGGGGGGGGGGAGGGGAGGGCAGTTTGTGGTGATAGTTTGGGAAAAGGTAATTATAACTGCTTTTATTGTTCACCCTATGCATACAAATTTAACCCTTGAAGTACAGTGCAATGCTGCAAATGTCAATTTTTATTTTACCTGGGGTTCAGCTTTAACAGACTAAACGGTACCCAATAAGAGAAGTTGATCGTTAGGGTTTACAAAGTCTTTAACCACTTGCTGCCCGGAGCAATTTCTTACACGCATGATAAAATCAGAATCTTTGGCTAGAAAACAGCTTCAGACCCCCAAACAATTATATATTTTCTAAAAGCAGACACCTTGTAGAATAAAAAGATGCTAGTTGCAATTTTTTATGTCGCACGGTATTTGCGCAAATGTTTATCAAACAAGTATTTTTAGGATAAAATACACTAAAATGAAATTTAATGCACAGAAACAGAATATAAATGCCCGATTTTTTGGTAAAATATAAAAGATGGGGTCTCGTTGGGTAAATAGATACCAAACATGTCAAGCCTTAAAATTGCGTGCGTCTGTGAAACCGTAAAAAACTCTTTATAGAGACATCTTTCAGACCCCTAATGCCACCTAGGGACCCCAAAGAAGCAGATGAAGCAGAGATCTGCTTCACAAGCTTCTTCTTCTGGCTCTAGGAGTTGGAGAATGTGCCCAGTGACACTGGAAGTGATGTAATGCACATCACTTCCGGGTCCAGTAATCGGAGAAGAGATCAGTGGCTGGAAGCTGCTGATCTCTCCTCTGATCTATCAGACCCTCCACGCCGGTCCCGGGATCACACGGGGGACAGTGGAGCCCGGGAAGCTGACGGCAGCACCGACGACAGCAGCGGGG